TTATTATAATGAAGTTAATACTAAAGTACATGAAAAAACATATAAAAAAAAATCAAATTATGATATATTAATAAAAATATATATTCATTATAAAACAATCATAAAAAGATTATTGATCTAAAATATTTTGTGCATTCCTATAACATAAATGATCATTATTTAAACAATATTGTATATATTCTTTAAAATATAATAAAAATGATTTTTCTATGAAAATTATTATTATTTTTAAAATTATAATTCAAATCATCTAAATTAATAAATATAAATATATTTCAATATTTTTTAACTTTAAATATATTTGATAAGGTTATGCTTACTATATATTTTTCTTCTAGTATTTTGTTGACTATTAGAATTATATGTTTTTTGGCTAGATTTTATATTAGATAATATTTGAATAACAGTTTTAGAGACATTAAAAGAAATATTTTTAGTTTAAGAGATATTATTATTGTTTTTAGGATAGTATTGTTATTAGTGTTATTTATTTTCACAATTTCAAATACAAAATAATAATGAGTACAAATATATTCTATAATTTCAATTTAATAGTGATATAATAAATAATGATATATTATTTAAATTAATAGTAAAAAAAGTAATATTGAATTCAAAGAGAAAAAAAAACTTGTATTTTATACTTTTCAAAGCATTAAATCCATTTCAAAACCCAATTAATTCTATAGCTTTTTTTTTGTAAACTCCTTAAGTTCTCTATAATTTATAAATTGAATATGAGATAAATAATATAACAACTATATTTCTTAGTATTTGATGAGCTTACTAAGGCAAAAGAATTTAAGGTAGGTATATATCCTGGTATAATATATAGTGTATTTACACAAGCAAATAAAATTCAAGATATCAAATTTTCACAAGTGATTTTTTTATTATTTAAAGAAGAAAGTTCAGGATTAGATGAATTAGGATTCTATCTCATATCTATATCAATAATCAAATAAAGAGGCTGGTTTCCATTAATACATTTATGTATATTTGGCATTCTATAAACTTTGGAAGGGTGATCAATCACTATATAACCTTTTCCTGCAATCTGAATTATATATTGAGAACAAATCTCTTTGGATTGATATGCATCTAAAAGTGCAGTATCATTTCTATTAGCAGAGCTGGCATGGATATTAGATTTAGCCAGTATTTATAATATATATGTTTTCTATAGTCAGATTTATAGCCGTCAAGATTTGTTAAACCTTTGATAATTATTTTTGCCTCGTTATATTCGGCCAATATTTGATTTGGATGCTGTTGTTGTAACGATTCACATAAACGTTTTTTTGATTCACTAATAATTATATATGTATATTTTTTAAGCTTTATATTTCTTTATTGTTTTTTTAGTTACGAACTTTATTTCTATGTTTTTTTAATTACACTTTATTTTTTTGTTTTTTTAATTATAAACTTTATTTCTTAATTACGAACTTTATTTCTTTGTTTTTTTTTATTATAAGATTTATTTATTTATTATAAATTTTATTTCTTTGTTTTTAAAAAGTTTATTTTTAATCCTTATCTCCAGTTCTTTTATTAAATGCTAAATCTATTTCATTGAATGCTAAACAATAGATATTTCATTGAATGCTAAACAATAGATATTTCATTGAATGCTAAACAATAGATATTTCAGTCAATTTCCGAATATTCTATATACTGTACTAGAAATCCGAAAATTCACTTTGACAATATATTATTAGACGAAACACTTAACTTTGAATTATTATAGTACGGGCAAGATATATTTGGTTATATACCGATCATATAAGTGTATTCTTAAGAATGTTCATTTTTGGCCTATGCATTTATCGAATTGCCCGTAGGTGACGCGTAATAAAGTTATGTGCGACATGTAAAGTAAAAGTACGGAAATCAGCATGTCAAATTCCGAGATCACTATAAAAAGGTTTGTCTAATGAGTCTTTTAAAGACTACACAAAAATGAAATTCAATACTTTTGCGTTTTTGTTAACTTTGATGACTTTCCTTGCTGTTGTATCAGCTAAGGTGCACTCATGTAGTGATTGCTATATCTGTAAGTATCTTTATATTTCATTAATATGACGCATCAGTTTCTCAATTGTTTCTTTTAACAATTGTTTCTTTTAATAGATATTGATATTAATATACAAGTAAGATGTCTTCAAACTTGTAAACTTGATGATACTCCACCGTCGAAAACTAGTGGCGGATCCCAATTACGAGGCGATAGCAGTCACGCTTTATCAATCTATTCGTTATTGGTCTATTTAGTTGTAATGTATGTGATTGGTGGAGAGATTCCGTCCTGTTAAGGCATGGTATTGTTTTAGTAGAAATAAAAAATAAATTTGGTACATCTTTTAATTCTCAATTTTACCTTTTTTAAATCGATCCTTGTGTAAATTTCTCCAGAATGTATGGAATTGGGTTTTTTATAAAATAAATTACATGGGTTGGTACACAGCAAAACCATGCTCTGAGACAAAATCCTTATTTGGAGATATCGACGATTATCAATTTAAATTTATATATCGAGCATATAAAATTAAAAAACTGCGCGCGAGATTGTAACAAATTATAATATATTAATATACAATCCAAACTTTTATCACAGTATAATTCACTAAAAATTTCAATTTTTGTTAAAACCTTTCAAAGCATGGTTTTGCTGTGTATCAACCCACATAACTTTAAAATGAAAATAATTATTCTATATTATTGTAATAAATATGGGACTCTATCGTTGACCTTATATTCTTAAAACTGGTAAGAATGTGGTAAGTTAACATACTCTACATATGGTGCATGCCTGAATCATGCGAGTAAGTATCGAAAAAGATAATATTATCAAAAAAAGCAGGCTGAATTACATGCAAAGCTTGATATACTTAAAAATCATATACCTGACTTATCCGATTCAAAGCACGAAGTATAATCATATGCTTGCTTGACATACTGTATATTGATTATTTTTCGAAGATTTCTTTAAGCCTCCTTGATGCCTTTTATATTTTTGGTTATCTTGGCACTAACTTCTCTATTATGTAGAGTTATGGATTCCAAGACTTTTGATCGATCTCGTGCCTTACCCATATTCATTTTCCGATATAATTACACTAACCATACCCATTCAATTTTTGGGTATATATACCGACCCAATATAATTAATTTTTGATTTGAAAGAATAAGTAGGTTAATGTATAATCACAATCTACTTATCGATATTGTATATATTGTATATTTATTATGGAAACTGTCCAAAAAACCCAAAAACCCAAAACTAATGGCTTTATCTCCATTTTGAATCTGTTCTTGAATAAATATAACCTATTAGTTGAATCAAACTCGCTTCAATTATGTGCTCATGTCAATGAACTTGGTACTATCCTACCAGATTGGAAGACTCGTAAAGATGTGAAGGAAGCTCTTTGTCGACGCTTATTCAAAGAAAATCAAATAGAAGCTCTTGTACCAAACAAAAGGAGAGAAACTTACTATCAAGAAAATAATGCAATATTGTGCAAAAACTGGATATGTGTTACCTCTTCATTTTCAAATTCTTCAAAGAATTCTTGTTTTTCTATAGATTCTATATCGCCATATGCTTCTTCATCTATTTGCAATAAAGTATTATAAAGAACTTGACAAGCTTTTAAAGTTCATATCAAGAGATTGTGAATATAAAATTTGATTATTTGAAGTTTTTTATAGAATATTGTATCTTTTTTATTAAAAATTTGTGAAATGTTTTTATAAAAATTTTTTTTAAAACTAATTTATTTAGAGTTTCAATGATATTTGAATTAAAAGATTTTTTTAAATTTTGAATATTAAATTTTTTAAGAAATTATAACAGGTTATTGTTTTTCATATTTTAGATATTATTTTGTTGAAATTGTAATAAATAAGAAATGTTTTTTAAAAAAAGTTTAACAATTAAAAAGTTTATAAGTATCAATATTATGATTTTATAATTATTATAGAATTTTAATTCAATATTTATTTGTAATTTAATAAATTAAATAGTAATATCATTTGATATTTAGATTGATTGATATGACTTTGGTCAATATTTATAATAATATATTTTGAAGAATTATTATTAATAAATATTTAATAATATAAAATGATTTTTTTTGTATTTGTATTATTGTATAGGATAAATAAACTTATATAAGATATATTTTTATTTTTATTTTGAATTGAAAAAATATTGAGATGATATAATCTTCAAGTTTGAAGATTTTATAAAAAAAATTTAAGATATTTTTATTAAATATTATTGAAATATTTTTTTAATTAAAAGTTTTTTTAAAAGATTATTTATATTAGTTATTATTTGAAAAGGTTAAAAAATTTTGTTTGATAATTTAGAAAGTTCTATTTAAATAATATATCTATTGATTTTGATTTTGATTTTTTATTATATTTAAAACATCATAAAAATTTAAATAATTAATATTATAATAATTTAACAAATCTATTTTGTTATAATAAAATAATAATAAAATAATTAGTAAATAGATAAATTATATATTGTAAATAATAATTTTAATATTAATAGATTTTTTATTAATATATTTTTAATTGTTTTTGTTACATAAGAATTGTCTTACTTAAAATATTTACGTATTATAATAAATACGTATACAGTATAAGTAAACAAAGTATCTACTGTACTGTATTATAATAGTATATACAGTGTATATAGTTAACTATTTTTCCGAACATCTTAGTCAAAAGCGGTAACAAATACATCTTGCACGCGTTCACTTACCATTTATGGTAATAATGAGCCGTTGGGATTTCTTAATTAGGGTTGCATCAAGTTTTCTTACCAGTTGACATTCCCAGGATATTTAGAACTTATAAAATGTCTAACCTGAGAAGAAAACAATCATCATTAAATTATACGACACGGTTTTGTTTTTTCTTTTAACGCTTACAAAATTTTACAAAATTAATTAATTTAACTTGTACATAAACATTGACTAATTATGGCGAGTCAGCTTGGTTTTGCTTCAAGGCCCAAAGAGCCGGCAAGAGCCGGTACGCCCTTCCAAATTGTAGCCAATTTTTTGGAAATCGCAAAAGTCGGTCTATTCGAGATTTGAATAATTTAACTTAGCAAGGATTATTGTAGCAATTGTTACTCACGGATCTTTTCTGATTCCTTGTAGTTCAATTACCCTACTGTTAATTCATATTCTTTAGACATTAGGGGTAGGGATAGAAATAGTTCGGTGAGCAAAAAAGATTACGATATGATATTTTTGCAAATTCTGCGAGAAGGGAAGTTGGGTCGAGGAGTAGGTGCCGCGTATGATGGAAATCTTGTGTATTCCATCACAGAACTTACCAGAGCGGGTAACAAGAGAGAAATAAATGTAAATTTTCTTTCAATGTTTGTAACGATACAATAATATGATCATAAGGTTTTATATAGAAAATTTATCTTTTAATTTAAGGTCGTGTTCACACCAGAAGGCGATGTGGGTAGACCAAAAAATTTAATTGCAACCCTAAAGTATTCCCGACAGTTTGATCTTGGCGGGATTGCGGAATATGTTAGAGTAAACTCTAACAAATCCTGGAGCTCCGAGATTCAGACGATACTGATCGTTCTCAACGCGTTCATTAACTCGAAAGTTCGAGCTCAGTTTTCATCTTCAGCAAAGAAAGCGATTTTTATTCATAGATCACAGAACGAAAGGGTATTTTTGAACGGGGGAATAGAGCTGAAGAAAGGATACTGGCAGACCATACGTCCCGGATGGGGTAGATCTATTGTTTAAATCTATTTCATTTCATTTTTTTATTTTATTTTTCACTAATCTTTAAATATATATATAGGAAAATTGTTTATAAACATCGATTTATGTGCGACTACATATTATCCATCTGGAAAATTGATTGACATCATTCCTCATATTATCGCGAAATCGCGGGATGAATTGCGACAAGGGTTAACACCAGAAGAGATAGAACATCTCTCGGAATTTCTCAAGGATCTTGATGTCACGACCACCTATCGAGGCGATAGAGGAAGACGTAAGCACAAGGTGTTCCAAGTATCTGCGAGATCTGCCGATCAATGTACATTTGTGGCGGGAGATGGAAGAAGAATCAGTGTTGCCGAATACTATAGGGGACTCGGAATGCCGTTGGAATTTCGTAATCTGCCATGTATTGTGGTGAGAAAGCCTCATAAAGACGATGTTCTTTTGCCTTTGGAAGTTTGTGAACTTCTACAAGGTGAGCTTTTGCTTCACACCGTCATAATACGAAGAGATTGTGTGATTAATATTATGTTTATTTTTGCCCAGGTCAAAAATACAAAAAGAGACTATCACCATATCAACTTCAGGAAATGATAGGAAAGGTTACAGTCAGGCCTGATGATAGATTCCGATATCTGGATTATGCCTTGAAAAATATTTACAAGCATCAATCAGACGAGAATATCTCCTCTATCGGAATGGAAGTAGGGAGCGAGTTTGTTAAACTTATGGGTAGAAAATAAATAATCTTGATTTTGTTTATATTGGCAAAATCCAAGATCTCATCTGTATAATTTTTTAGCTCGTAATCTCGCGCCGCCCAGATTAATTGATCGTGAGAGGAAACCGATCCAACCAGTTATGGGTAATTGGGAAGTCAAAAGGTTCATAACGGTAAGTTTCCGCTTTTTTCTTTTTTTTCTTTTTGAAAAAGATTAATTAAAACATGACTATTGGCAACTACATATATAAATAGGGAATTAATATTTATAATTGGTCCGTGGTAGTTTTTGAAGATATGAAAACATTACCGATAGAAATATTAAAAAACGCATTGATTCAGCTCATGGAATTATTGACTCAGAAAGGACTCGTAGGCTATTCTTTGACAACTTGTTATTGGTTTATCTCTTTTTTTTTTTTACGCAACTATGGTATTCGTTACGATTTTATAGAATATTGTAAACAATAAACCTCCAATTTACTATGCTAACCCAAACGGAGATTATTCCAAGGTGAGGAACGTCACCTGTTTCACCCATTTTATTGTTATTAGTGACGTTTATTAATTTTTTACCAATACATATTTTCTTTACAATAATAAATAGTCTTTACAAATTGGTTTCAATAATGCCAGAATTAATCGGGGAAAAGCACCACAATTAATTATATGTGTAATTCGTAAAAAGTTAAAGGGTGACTCAGGGATACGTCCGATAATCAAGAAAACATGTGGAACAATCTTGGGAGTAATATCTCAATGCATTGTGGCTTCAAATATTGGATCAGAAAAATGGCGGCAAATTTGCGGTAACCTTGCTCTTAAGATCAATGGGAGGCTGGGTGGTACGAATAGTACCTTATACAACCATGAATTGAAGTTTAAGACGACTACCACAGTAGGTATTTGAGATTTATTAGTTTATTAAAATTTTTTCATTCTCTTATTTACCAATTGGTGTTTCCACATATATATCTTTATTAGCCGATGGTTTTGGGGGCGGACGTTTTTCATCCTGGTATAGAAGAAAAGAGAAAAGGTCAGCCCAGTGTAGCCGCGGTATGCGCCTCGATGGACCCAGAATTAACAAGATATGTTGCACGATATGGAATGAATAAAATATTAAACAATGAGACTATCGAAGATATAGAAAATATGATGAAAGATTTACTCGAACAATTTAGAAGGAGAAATGATGGTGCTCTTCCCGAGCAAATTATATTTTATCGCGATGGTGTTTCCGAAGGACAATTCCAGACAGTATTGGACGTAGAGATTTTTGCTATCAAGAATGTGTTCAAAGAGGTGTATAAATATCATGACCCGCCGAAGTTAACATTTTTAATTGTTCAGAAAAGGCATCACGCCAGGTAAGTTTTCCGTGTTAACATCTTTGCACTTTTTTAATGAAGGTATTTTTGAATTTATACTTGTGGCTTCGTTAGGTTTCTACCTGTAAATGAGAAAGACCGCGATCCAAATGGTGGAAATTGCAAACCCGGCACCGTGATTGATACGGGCATTGTTGTACCACAGAATTTTACGTTCTGTAAGTGAAATTGTTAATCGATTGCATGAATGTTCAATAAATTGTAAGTGTTAATGATATGTCTATCGCACGTAAACTAGTTCTGCAAAGTCATGCAAGTCCACTCGGGACGGCTCGATCCGCTTATTATCATGTTATTCTTAATGAAGGCAATTTCTCGGCAGATGAGATTCAGGGAATCACTTATAGGCTATGTTTCTTATCTGTAAGGTATGTTGAAAAAAGAACACTTCTGTTACAATAGACTTTTTCTTATGTAGTACTGAGTTGCTGATCAATTGATTCATCTCAGATGCAATATGGCCTTATCACACGTGACTCCAGTACACTATGCGCACCACATCGCCAACCAAGCGAGATACTTTGTTGATTATGATCCAATTCCTGTCAGTGCTCGCGGCGGGAGAGGTGGTCGTGGAGGTAGGGGTAGGGGCGGTCGTGGCAGTAGAGGTGGTCGTGATAGACATGCTGAGGAACCTGCCACCGAAAAAGTGATGGTGAGAAATGGTTCCTGTGCGAGGGTTAAGGATTCTATTTTAAATGAAATGTACTTTGTTTAGAATTTTTGACGGAAGTTTAAGTATGCCTTAAATTTTCCAAGATATATAAAATACATATTTATTTGATAAATTAAAAGTCAGAAAAATGATTATGCACGTATACTTTATTGTCGTATGGTAACGGCGAGCCTTTCATCTATTGTATCTCGAATTTGTGTCGTGTAACGTCATCTCTGTGCTGTGATTCTTACTTTATGTTACCATACTTGGCTTATCAATTGAGACATGATTACTTGATCAAAATAGAATCTTTAGGTTTTTTTTTGCTGGTATGAGTACAAGATTAGATTTACATAATACTTTATTATCACATTTGAGAAGTAAATGGTGGTTATTTTTTTTTTTTTTTTAATATACTGTATCTTTAAATTAGGTCCAAAGATCTCGAGCATATCTTTTTACTTATCGATCTACACTAATATTTTGCTTGTGCTACAATATACAGTATGAATTTAATATGGGCGAAGAAGAGCGGGATGGACGGGTATCGGAAGAAATATCATTTTGTAACTGCTTCCTGTTGCAATCTCGCGACTCTAGCCTTAAGCTCGGTATTTTTCTCTGCAGTCTGTTCCATTTATTTCGCGACTCTGGCCTTAATCTCGGTATTCTCTTCCATAATCTGCTTTAATTTTGTATCCTCGGCCTCAATATTTCTAACTGACGACATTTTGGGTATCGACAGTTTTATATAGAAAGCAGATTTATTCAAACTTCGAATCTAATTTTTTACTTCGCAGATACGAGGTGCGATTGATATATTTACACACGAAAAATCTTTTATTTAACCAATGACCATTAAGTAATAGGTTAACTTGTTTTGTTTATTAATATAGAAGATGGATGGATGGTCGTTTGATTCAAGGAAAATCTGTCTGCACCTAATTTATATATTTTTACAACTTTCCGAGTTTTCGTTGTAAGTATTTACGCGAGATTTCTGGGTGTTGTAATCATGTATCTTTTTACGGAGAATGGAAAACAGTCCTAACATTTTATTACATTTCGTACTGAATTATAAATTCTTTCCCATAATATAACACTAGCACAAAATTTCTTCCTGGTTAGCACAAATAGCATTATATTCAGCATCAAAATAACTGAGCAAAGCAAACATTGATACTGAAGAAGAAATTTGATTTCGTTGTAATAAATATCATTGTCAGAGACAGTAGTCATCTTGAATATTACTGGATATCCTTTTGAAATCAAAAACCAGTAAAATTAGCAGTATCAACTATTAACGATTAAAGACCGTTGAAAAATTCTCAAGATCAAGCGCAGTTGAAGGTGTGCCTGTATCACGTTCAGTAATTCGGTTGATTCTGGTGACTGAAGTGCAAACATTTGGAATGCCAGGTTGATTTATCGCCCTTTAGCGAATAAAAGGAAGTGTTGATATTGAAGAATATGAAAAACATGGAATCAGTCTTTATCATACCATGATATATTCACGCGTATCTGACCAACCCATGCTCCAATAGCATTGCCATTTGGAAATGTAAATATGATATTACTATAGCTTGTTGCACCATTTTTTGTGATAATCGCAACCCTGTTTTGGCCAGCAATGCCATTTCGAAGACCTGGAACAGTGGGAACATCATTGAAACCTGCCTCATTCCACTCAAATACAAGAACGGGCATATCTTGATCTTTTTTTAGAGCTTTAAGGACCAAGGTAGCTGTTTTACGATTTTGAGGAGATCAACGCTAAACAAGCGAACATTAATTAATATGTATGTGAATGGAAATAATTAACTGCTAATTTTTACACACTTGTATCGCTTTTTTTTGGCATATTTACGAAATAGATTAATTTTTTGTGATTAATAAAACAGCAAATGGGTAAACACTGTTAATATTTAATTACTACATATAAAAAAAGTGCCAAACTTCCTACTCAATCACTGTCGAGTTATCACAATCACGTGACAAAGAATTTTACCCAGAATTTAACATGTAATGCTGCATATTTGATATTTTCCAAACTTAAATTTGAAATCGATGGTGTAGTAAATATTTTTATTCGTTGGATATATGTCATCCTTTGAACTTTGTCCCATTAATATGAAAAAAACAATCATAAATTTTCTGGCTTTTTTTGTTTTCTTTTGAAGTATATTCTTGAAAACTTTTTTTGAAATTAATTTTGAATCTTCTTTTAAGTCACATGTTTTTTTAATAAATTGTTTATAATTGATAAAGTATTTTTTCAGTTATTCTTCAAGAAAATAATATGTTTATAATATATTATTGTTATTTTTTTTAGTTGTAAACAAACATTAGATATGTCACATTGCTTAACTATTATTAGCTAACATGTTTATCTATTGTGTATCATTATTTTTTTTAATTTTATGTATTTTTAAATATAAATAAAAAAAAAAATTTAAAAACCGTTAACTTTTGTTTTTTCTAATTTCTAAAATATTAAATAATAATTTCAAATAAGTATTTTCAATACAATAAAAATTTATTTTTAATTATTTTTTTAATTTTTTTTTTATTTATATTTATATCTTAATTTTAAAACAAAAATTATTTATTTATTTTTATATTTTAATTCTAAAAAAAAAACTTATAATAAATTAATATTAATACTATAAGCAATTTTATTAAATAAAATTAATATATTAATTATTTAAAAAATTAAAAAATTCAAAAAAAAACTCTCTCCTAATCGCGTTCGTTTTGTTAAAAATTTTCCTTTTATGGTAATTTTAAGCAAGAAAAAATGTTTTATACTCTTTATCGCAAGTGAGTCCCAGCTCAGGAACTCAAGAATCTTCAAGACAACTGGTGCAGTGAGATGGGACCTCTGGTCAAAGTCTATTCAAGTTTGGGAGTCTTGATTATCCTTCAGTTGCATAAGGAAAGACCTGTGACAGTTCTCTTTTTTTCAGTTCTTTTGCACCCAACCTTACCCTTATTATATTATAAAAACTATCTATATTATTATCATCATATTTGCCAAACCAAATACTTTTCAAAACATATTTACAAATAGAGTTAGTGGGTCTACTGTTTGTTTTAAGTCAATCCACACACACAATATTTTCGTAGCAATATTTGCTGCACTATTTTCAATTTCCAAAAAATTTTCAACTAAAAAATCGAAATCAGTTTACCCTCTCAAGATGATCAGCGCTCTTCAATTATCCAATCAGATTTCACTTAAAGATCAAAACAAAACTCGAACAAGTTCAAACTGGTTTTGTATCACAATAACGATCACAACAACAACAACAACTAACATACTACCAACAACTATAACAACAAACAACGTCATGTATACTCAATTATCTATGGTAACCGATGAGCCGGAGAGATGGGACAATGAGCCTGTCCGGGGGCTTCCGAGGGGAAATAGTACTTTTCTACTTATAGATTATAGTTTACTTAACGTAGTTCTAGC